ATGCCAACATATTACCTTTACACTCCGACGCAGTTCCTGTCCACCAGTACACTTTAATTCCATCCAGCTTCCTTACTCAGACACAGTCCGGTATCTTGGCTTTCATTTAGACCGAAGACTAACGTGGAACCCACATACTATACTCAAAAGACAAGAACTCAACCGACGATACGGCCAGCTATACAGACTACTAAACAGAAAATCCAAACTTTCTATTGAAAACAAATTACTTATCTACAAGACAATACTGAAACCTATATGGACATACGGACTTGAACTGTGGGGAACAGCAAAAGCTTCTAACATCAAACGTATTCAATCCTTTCAATCTAAAGTCCTTCGAACAATAGTTGATGCTCCGTTCTATGTAAATAACAAAATCCTACACCATGACCTTAATATCCCATTTGTCCTAGACCTTATTCCAGAAAAATTCTCCAAATTTCACCAAAACCTTACCTATCATCCAAATCCCCTTGCACAATCTCTATCCAGCACCACCCATCCTTACAATCCTCCTCGAAGGTTGAAGCGGCAGTGGCCCAGAGACCTTTTGTAAATAAGCATCTATTGGAGTTTTGGCAATGGCCAGATCCTCCACTCAAGCCCGAGTGTGTATGATTAGGTTAGTTCTTTTGTTTATATACATTTATTTTATTTTATTGTATTTATTTTTATTTTATTTTATTGTATTTATTATTATTAAGTTTCTGTATTATTTATTTTATTTTTTATTGTAAATAGAGTGTGAGTGTGCTTTCTCTGATCACTATTATAAATGTCCTTGATGTGACAGAATGTAATATTTCTAAATAAACAAATATATACAATAAATTTATTCTCAAATAGTTGAGTCATTTATTTTAAAATGGAATCCTAATAGATTTTTTTGGGAAATCAAGATAAATAGCCATTTCTATGTAAGATAACGAGTGAATAATACGGTGCAATAATTTTTTTTTTTAAAACAGAACCTAATTGTTAATTGGTACCGGCCTTTTTTCAAGGAATGTAATGAAATTTGATTTTCTTAAGTATTTTTAAAAGAATAATTTTTCAAAAGCTTTTTTAACATTTATATTCAAACGATACGACGGGCGGTTTTATTAGATCGATTATTTATAGTAAAAATTCAACATGTATTTCGGTTAAAAACTCGAATTCGGAATATTTCATTTAAAAACTCTAATCATAATTGCGATAGCTTGACCATTTGATTGCTTGTTTTTCTCCTTTTTTTTACGACTCTCAGATTTCTATTTTTTCTCAGTAATATGTCCCTAAACAGAATATGCCTTATGTCACTGGATTTCTAGTAATAATTACAATTGAGATTAGATATTGAACCTAGAGAGGTCATCTTTTGATAAACCAAAAGAAAACAGTTCTCTAAATACGATTTTACAAAACATCAACTGCCCTAATATGTAATTTTAAGATGAAGAACCATATATATTTTACTAAATAGTAGGTCATATATGCTGATTAAAAAGAAGTTATTCAGGTCCTCAGACATTTTGGTGCAGTTGCTAATGCATTTTTATTATAAATTCTTTATCAGAATAAATTCCCAAACACTTGCATCAAATCAATTATATCCCGCTACACGTATGTCAAAAAATTTGGCTTTTAGCCCTCTCCATTCATCACTAAAAGTAAACTTTATTTTAGATAATCTTTTTCGTAATACAATGGCATTTCCTCATAACAATAACTCATTTTAATGACTGGCTGAAGGTGTAAACAATAAAAAAGCTCAAACAAGTATTATAAATATAAAGTATATTGACACAGATTTGGTACTCACCGTGGCAGAGATTGTTCAAGGACCGGAACCAGCATCAGTTCACGACCCAGGCGAACTGATATAGTCGTTGGGGTCTCCGCGGTTTTGATGCCCCCTCCAACGAGGAAAGTCCAGAAGAGCGGAAATACCCAGAGCGTAAGGGCGAACCTGGAATCAAAATGACCCAAAATCAAAAACTAACGAGCTGACTAGCTGGATGAGGATCAAATCCTGTTCTTTTTTTTTTCTATTTGTGCTAACAAAGGGAAGAACTAAGTAATATAGGAGATGCATATGAAAGCATCATTCCGAGATCTGCACTGTCTAATTTATAATGCGAAACTAATAGAAAGTAATCGCTGGTACAAAGATCAATAATGAAAAGACGCGTAGATAATTGGGAATGCCTTCCGAAATTATTATGAAACAAACCTACACCGGCTTTGTCGGTGTGGTTAAATTTTATATTAGAGGAAAATCAGAAGTAGGTATGTTAAATAGTTTATTTGATGAAATTGTTTCGCCATTTAAACAAAATCTCGAATCTTTTTTTAACCAAATTAAAACTAATTATTCAAGTTGGATAGCATACAGTATCTTTAAAAAATATTTTACTTTTCGTATCATAGGCGCATACTTTCCATTCAGGTTAGGGTGGTCATAGTGGTTGGATGAGGGGAGGGAGAGATGGACCCCCTCAAAATGTCTCCGGAATTTTTTATCATGCATAAAAATTATGTGTGATAATTAACATAATCGACATAATTATTGTAAAACGGACAATATAATACTATACATAAAAATCTGGTGCGGTTTTTTTTACAAAGGGGTTTTACGAAAAATCGCGCATCACACAACTTTTTCTTTTTCACTTACCACCATTTTCTTAGCAGAAATAAGTATCTTTAGACTAAGGAGAAGTAAAAGTAAAAACTGACAAACGCTATATAAACAAATTTTAATATTTATATCGCTGTAATCTATACAATTAAATATTAAATAATACCGAAAATAGCATCTATGAAAACCGCATATGTATATTTAAATAATATTGTCGGAGTCCTTATTATATTAAGCTCATGTTACGTAAGGAAGCATGTTCTAATTTTTCGGGCGAGCTCAGGTGCGCTCGTATTCCTTTGGTTCCTTTATTACAACTATTCCCCGTTACGATCTCTTATTTCTCCTTTAGTTAATTATCAAATTCTTTCATATTTTATATTTAACTATCTTTTATATTAGAGATAAATGTGAAATGGTCATTTGTTCCAAATAAAAAAAAATAAAGGTACTTTAGGAGAAGCTAAGATTGAAAATTAACTATTTGATCCCTGTTAGAAAACATCAATCAGAATAAGAGCTACAGTATATTTAAAACTGATAATTATACACTGATATAAAGATTTAATCAAAATCTTTCGAGCTGTTTTCGAGAAAATCGCAAAAATGTGTTTAGTTCATCATTTGAAATGCCACTTCCGGTCAGCCGATTTTGACGAAAAAGTTGCTGTAACTTCCCTAGCATATAAGAACCTTAAATATGCAATTTCACTTGCGTACGACTTTCCGTTTTTGTTAACACATATACACTGACCATTTTGCGGGACTTGTTTATTCGGATTCGGAGGACATCAAAACGTGTATTTTCGTTGAAAACTGAGATTCAAAAATTTCCACGATCGCAAAACTTTCCCTTACAATATATTTGATACATAGGCAAGGATATAAATAGGTGATAATCATATTTAGGTAACAGGTATATAAATGTTATAATGGTCATATTGATTCTCAACAACTGCCTAGATAGAGGATATTTTTAAGAAGCTGGAAAATTGCTGATGTCAGACTCTTCTACAAAGGAAGAGAACAAGCAACTTCCCAAATTATACAGGACCATTGGTCTCCTTCCTGTAATGAGCAAGGTGTTGGAAAACCTGGTGGTCTTGAGCCTTCGGCCAGTCTTATCAAGATCGAGCCATCCACGGAAATATGGATCCACTAAAGGCAAGGGAATCGCAGATGCCATATTGCGAGTACGTTATGACGTAGAAGAAAGAGCGGAGAGGTATGTTATGCTTCTCCTGCTCGACATATCCTCTACATTTGACAGGGTGTGGTGGCCGAGCGTTCTCCAGCAACTCCAGAAGTATGAAACTCCTAGTAACCTGTATAAACTAGGATCTCCAGGACCGGACATTGAAAATTAGAGGCAGATTCTTTGAAGTAGAAGACACCGTCGAGAGGGATTGCCCGCAGGGATGTATTCTGGGTCCTGCCTTGTGGAAACTGGTCTTTGACGAGTTGCTGGAGAACCTCGAAGAAGAGCGGTTCCCTGACACGGCCAATGTTGACGGTTTGCCGGTCTGAATACGCATACTGCTGCTACAACCCGTTTTGCCTATATTATTTCTATATTAAACATATGTCTATTTTTATTTAAATGTTTCAGACAGGAAATAAACTCTCAATTATCCGATTATTCAAATTAGCCTCGGGAAATGTTATAAAATCTTCACTTAAAAATGGACCTTTCCACATGAATGAATCATAAAATCCTAGGATATGTTGCTACATCTAATTATCTTTGAATATAAAATAAAATTTCAATAATAGAGCGTGGTAAAATACTTGAGTACCTACCACTAGGACTTATTAACCATTTCGTCCTCTTTTTCTATATTATTAATTGATATTAGTTTATTGAAATATTGGAGGGAGGAAAAGATATTCTCGCCTTCTCTCTATTTTTATTGGGGAGTGGATGGGGAGGTGGTGATCGATCCCCTCGCCGCTAGAAGTCTGCTCTAATGTCTCGTATCCGGAGAAGGTTTCAATTAAAACTTATTTTTGTAATGAGCGATAGGACTTCCATATTTGATAACTGTATATTTTATTTTATTTTTGTTCTTAAATTGAAAAAAATCATCATCTTGAAAAATATCATTTTAATTATTATCAGTTGTTCTTAATTATGACAAAATGCAATAAAACTTTATAAATAAATGTCATTTTTTTATTATTCTACGTCATGGTAAAATTAGCTACTTCGGTACTATTAGTGACAGGTAATTGCATATGTGCACGATTTGGGACTATTGGCGAAAGGTGTGGCCGTTTTAGTATAGCTTAATAGCTATCCAAGGTGTAAATAAGTTAATTACTTGGAACTGATCAAAACCACACCTATGTTGTTATTTTAGTAGGTGGCGTATATCTAACGTCGTGAACGATGTTAGACATTCAGTGATGTGTGATTTCCCATGACCTTAACTTTTTTTTTAGAAGCACCACTACTTCACGGACACGATCACTTAGAGGTAGTCTACTATTTAAACAAATCTTGTTAGGTTTACTTAACAATGACGTTGAAGCATAATTCAATTCTTTGAACTTAAAACTGTTTTGTACTCTTCTGCTTTAGAGAAGAATCGTGACACAGCAGATGTTTGATGGCCTGCTCGTCATGAGACCACATTCCTTCCAGTTCTGCACAAACCGAAATAAGTGATTAGCTGCCTGCTTTTAGTCCGAGGAATTATTAAGTTTGAACGTATGGCTTAAGGAGTTTTAACATTAATCATAACTTTCATAATTATGCACCTGGCCACTACGAAAAAAATCAGGTAAGCTTTAAAAATATATTGGTACTTGTCGGTTAGCCGGACAGGACCGACTGCTATCTGCCAATGTTTAAAACCTAAACACTGATAATTCTAATAAGGCTTCTCATAATTCTTTTCTAACTTCATTTGATGACCTTCTTCACACAATTTCACGTTTGGAATTATCCCAGCGTTTTGAAAATATCCAATCATCTTCTTCTGAAGACGGTAATTCCCAGGATGTAATAACATCCCTAATTTGACGAAAATTTTTTTTTTTTTTTTTTTTTTTTTCTTACCCTCCAAAAAGTTTATTGAAACAATTACATATATAGTATACAATAATACAATATAAACATGTAATAAATTCCTTCCACTGCCCGAGGGCATTTTAAGGATTGGGGATAGCTAAAGGTTACATATGTGGCAGAAGGCCTTGTGACTTTGACATTGAACGGGGAAGGATCGTTCTGCTAATGTTTTATTATTTACAATATATACAAATTAATGAGTTTGGACCGCAGAGACCAGACCACATCCTTCGGCGAGTATGTCCACCAAAGGGAGTTTACCTTGCCACCTCCCAGGTCTGGGTGGTGGTGAGATCTCATTGAACAGTGGGTTTGCACAGGCCTTCAGCCCATCAAAAAATTTGATGTGCCTCCGGCCTATGAACTCAGGTACCGAGGGGAGCTGGAGCTCCTCGCGTATTGTTTGATTCTTAGCCCTTTGTAGGGTGGTGCCACGGACAATTCGCCGAAGGATAGAGTTCTGGAAGCCCTGTAGACTCGTAAGCGTGGATTTATATAGGTATCGCAGGAGAGGGGCCCCGTGGAGCAGTGTTGGTCTTATAACAGCTTTATAAATTTGGAGCTTGAGTCTCAGCGAGAGCTGCGGCGACGTCAGTAGGTGGTAGAGCCGGTGCGACTTCTTTCGTGCCAGCTTGATCCTCTGCCTAACGTGATTGGAGAAGGTCAAATGTCTATCTAGCGTGACGCCGAGGTAGACAATCGAGGTAGAAATTTTATGATAAACTCCTCCAACGGTGAATTGTGTGGGTAGATGCTTCTTTCCCTTCTGAAACGACATGACAATAGCATCAGTCTTCGCAGGATTCACTCTGATACCGATCTCTTCTAGCTCTTCAACAATTGTGGCTGAAGCATTCTGTGCCAGAGTGAGTGCAGTCTCCGCGTTGATGCTGGAAGCATATATGCCAATGTCGTCCGCATAGGCTGCTACCACCGCCTTTGGATGCTTGAGTGCCACCACTGGCGCCGTGAAAACGACGAACAGTATTGGCCCCAACACAGACCCTTGAGGTACTCCGCAGGTGGTATCGACTGGGTTTGAGTAGTCTGTACCAACTCGTACGACGAGAGATCTTCCGCTGAGGTAGCTTCGGATCAGTCGGCATAGAGTGGTAGGAAACCTGAACTCTTCCAGACGGCGAAGTAGATGCGTGTGTGACACGCAGTCAAAGGCCTGACTGCAGTCCAAGGAGATGAGCGCCGTAGCTCTGTTGAGACTCATTTCATCTATTGTGTGGGCCTGAAGTTTAGCTAGGTGGTGTTCACACGCGACCCCTCTCTGGAAACCAGTCTGCTCTGGTGGTATGATGCTCTCTTTCCAGCAGTGCTTCATAAGCTGATGGTGGATTAGCCTCTCGAAAATCTTGCTGATGTGCGAGAGGAGGCTGATAGGACGATAGTGCTCAGCTGAGTCCCCGTTCTTCGCCGGCTTGAGTAACGGTACAACGATCGCTTGTTTCCATGCGGTAGGAAAGTATGAGATTCGAAGACATGAGTTGAATATGTTCAGTAGAAAGGCTTTACCCTTCCTAGGGAGCATCTTCAACAGTACGTACGGAATCTCATCCAGTCCAGACGCTTTGTTTCCTTTGGTGCGTCGTAGCGTCGACTCCAGCTGGCTGAAGGTAGAGAAGACGGGTTCTTCGTTGGGACTGGGCAGTGGTCCTTCCGGCATTGGTGGTGCATTTCTCGTCCGCTCAGCATCCCTCGCTTCATAGCTTTTGGCCAGGAGTTCAGCCTGTTCCTTAGGTGTCAGCAGCTCATTCCCCGACGTCAGGTGGACAGTCCTCTTCTTGTTAACGAACGTTCGGACCAGTCTCCAGAACTGGCGGTGGTCATTATGAGTCCTCCGGAGCTGGTCATGCCAGAGTGAGGTCTTCCAGTCTCGCATGAGGCTGGCTATCTGCCGGGTCATCGCATTGATGGCCGGTTTCAAGCTGTAGTCACGCGTGCGCTGAAAGATGTTCCTCAGGTTGTTCCTCTGACTGATCAGGGCGAGGATGTGACGTGGTGGTCTCCTGATGGCGTTGGGCTGCGGAGCGAACCTAGGGATGTTCAGGTTGGCTGAATCCTGGATAGTGGTGGTGATGACATCCACCGCCTCGTTTACCTCTTCTACTGTCTGGCACGGCGTTACCGCCGGTAAAGTGGATTCAACGCTAGACCTGTATCCTTTCCAGTCGGCCTTGTGGAGTAAGTATTTACTCGCCGGTGGTTTGGCGGGTGTGCCCTCGATCGTGTAGAGCACAGGCCGGTGATCCGACGGTCCATACGGAAGCGCTTGGCAATCCGTAATGATGTGCAGATCCCTGGTTAATAGCAGGCCCAGCGTTGATGTCCAATCAGGTCGGGCTGAATGCCGGAAAGTGTGTACACCTGGGTGAAAGACGGCCAATCTAGTCTTGGTAATGTACTTCCCCAGTGGATTGTCGCTACCACACAGCCAGGAAGTGTGTCGAGCATTGAAGTCCCCAAGGACTACATGCCGACCCGTCACCTGGGCATGTTGTAGCAGCAGCTTAACAGATGTCAGTCCAGCCCTGGGTCTCCTATAGACACAAGTGAATGTGAACCGACTCTTAAGTCGCACGTCAACTGTGAGTAAGTGAGTTCCCTCGGTGGGTTCCACTGGGTTCGGGACGGATCTCGAAGGTACATCTTTTCTGACCAGGATGGCTACTCCCTCTCGAGACCCTGGTGCACACACCTCTCGGTATATAGTGTACCCCTGGAAGTATGGACGAGTCGAGGTGTGAAGCATGGTGTCTGTCAACGCCACCACTGAAGGTCTATGCTGCTGAAGAAGGAGCTCGATTTCAGCCAGCTTCTGGAAGAGGCCTCTGGTGTTGAAATTCATGACGAGATGATTAATCATGATGCTTCTTCGTCATAGCATCTAGCATGCGGGCAACTATATCCATCAGCTTGTCCATTCTTGTCAGCATCGTCATCACTAGAGACGTCAGGGAGGCATCGGTACTTGTTGAAGGCTGAGGCGATTGCGTTGGTGCAGTCTGTTCCTTGAACTGGGTGGCGTGCTGGTGGTGGGGATGAGACTGGTGGTGGGGAGAGGTTCCTTCTGATTGGACCGGCGCTCCTCCGCTTGCTGTGCTGTATGCCAGGCCCTCCTGGACCCACTTACTCTGTTTGCTGGTATTCGTTTTCGTCGGTGTTCCTTTGGTGATTTCCCTAATTTTCTTCACCAACTCCTGTCTCTTCAAGCATTCTTTGGAGGAGGTGGGGTGGGCACCTTTACAGTTTACACCAGGGAGTTACTGTCTTCGGGCACTGTTCAAGGGTATGGACACCTCCACACCAGGGGCACGCACATGTTCGGCCACAATATTTCATAGTGTGTCCGTATTCTTGACAATTTCGGCACTGTGCTGGGACCCCATCTTCTTTAAAGATGCTCACACGAAATTTACACTGCGATATATGATAAAGTTTAGCAATGTCTGTCAGCTTGACCGAGTCGTCTGTAATTATCTGGATCAGCTCGATAGGTTTTGGTGGTTCATTCGGGTTGTATCTCTTTGTGAGTCTTCGGGCGAGTCTGAATCCTGGTAATCTGGTTTTTAACTCCTCGACTATCTCCTCGACGGGGAAATCAATACCGAATCCGTGAAGCACATATTTTCGAGATCGCTTAGTGCCTCTGGGAGCAAAACTGTGGAATTGTACCCTATTGTCCTGGCGCAACAGTAAAGTGGCTTGAAAGTGGTCATTCTCGGAGTTGACATACAGCCGAGTTTCTTTTGATGATGAATTGATAGAGAATAATGTTATATTATTCTCGATCAGTATATTTTTCAGCGCTGCCTGGGCTATCGGAGGTGCTATGATGATTGGCGGCGGTCTGTTTTTCTCCGGTAGATTCACTCTCAACACGGAAAACTTGTTGGCAATTGGGATCTGGGAAGGCTTTTCCGCGACGGTACGGGCGGGAAACGTGTGTCGTTTGGCTACTGGGGCGTAGCCTTCAATATCCGATCCAAGGCCTTCGCTGTCAGTTTCGTGAATCCTCTTCCCACTTTTATCTTCGGAGGCCTCAGGCTCTGGAATCTCCATAGGAAGGTTCTCATTCTGGTTCGCCATCACGAATGAAGGAAGAAAGGAGGTCCGCTTGTCAGCGCGACGCTGCCCTCACTCGAGAGAGTAACTGCTGAGGTTTGGTCTAAGGGATAAGTATGGACCCCAACAGTATTAAAGGGCGCAAGCTTAACAAGCAGAGGAAGTTAATAGTGGTCTCACGTCACTATCAAAGATAGCAACGCCAAAAATATATAATCTGCGAGAACTTTGAAATAATCTTATCTGGAATTCTATATCAGATTATAAGTTGACGAAAATAACACAAATGGAACAAAAATAAACAATCGAATAACTCAAAGCTTTCACGAGATAAGAAGAGAGGTTATATGATGTAACATTAGATAACAAGGGAGGTTTCGTCCAGGCCTCTTATCCGACAAGTACCTTAAGCCAACTTCAAGGGCTAGAACGAACAGGATACAAAAGCTGTAGAAAACTATAGAAGTTACAAGATATCTAGGCAACCAATTATAAACGGAGTACTAATCCTCATGGTCCTTTTAGCCAACACCTGTCGGCTACCTTGATGTTGCAGCCGGGGGAATGTCAAGATTAATTTCCCGATACC